TGAACCATGATGTTCCAATTCATATTATGTCTTTTTTTGGATTCTCTTACACTTTTCACCTTTTCAACATTCTGAAGCTGTGCGTTTCAGAGTGTAATAATGTGCTATGGGAAAGACATTCTCTTAATTTATTTTAAAACCACAAGCAGTATTTTTATTGGTAATCCCAATTTCTTTTGTGTTAAAAAAATAAAACAAAAATTAATAACTCTTCCCTGCTCATCTTGTTGATATAATTCAAAATGGGATCTGAATGGGTTTAACATCACCTGTAAATTGGAACATCCTGTAAACTGCAAACAACCTGGCTCAATCATGTGGACATCAATTGAAGCGTTCTTATACTTAACTTGAGAGAATTACTTTCTATAGCTAAAGAGCTGTTTATTTATAAGAAGTATTGAATGACATACATGAATTAAAGAAGTTAACATAAATTCCTTAGGTAAGCCATTGCTCAGTCTGTTCAGTGAGATCCAAGATTCATTATCAAGTGACTTACTTCTCATTTGTTCAGAAGCTCCAGCAATCAAATAGTAAAAGATATGAAACGTTCGCTCATCTTTAGCCTGACGAATAGCACGGGATTTTTCAAGCAAATCTGTTTGTCAAGCACGTTAAAAAAATAACATATTTCAGTCCTTCCTTAATTGTGCCATCAGCCTCAGAACCATCAATAACATTGCTGAAATGTTTGCCACGAGCTTGTCTAACATGAACATGCACAATGAGTTCAGCCTCCTACCTCTTATTGTATAGCAAATGCTGGTAATAGGCACCCCACAATAGACATAACTGCTTCTAAAATCAGATATATAAATACAGTACTCACAATAAAATTCACACCACTTTTATAATGAAGTAGCAATATGATTCTTTGAACGTAAGGTGGAGCTGCTAGAAAAAAAGATCTTGAGGCCAGTATTGTAGGTATCAAAGCAGTAAAAGCGATCTTTATTTACAGTCTATTTTTGTGACTATAAACTACCAAAAATGAAGTTGGTGATAGTGTATTTTAATAGCAGTCAGTGATTCACACTTTAAAAGTTATAGTACTATAGATAAAACATCAGTGAAGACCAAAAAAATTAATATCTGACTTTTTTGTAAAGATCATTTGTCAAAGGAGGAGCAGAAACTGTTTGCTTGTTGTTTGGATCTACTACCAAGAGATAGGGCCCTTCTTCTGCATCTTTCTCATTTGTTGGAGCAAGTGGCTCCTTCTCAATGCAAAGGAGAGCAATCCAGCACTGATGAATCTAGCAACATAGGGAAGAGACAAAGGTACTTGGCGAGCAAAGTCAGGCTAAGCTGAAATGTCTGTAATTTTCTCCTGAAAATATACATTGAGGTTATTGATCTATAGCTCGCTACTCTGGGTGTGTCGTTTGAAGCAGCAGGGCAGTGTTTAGGATCCAGAGCAGAGATGTTCTCTGGAAACATCAAGAACTTGATGCTATCTGGGGCATCAGCACCAACAAAATACTTGCTTCACTTTAGTCAAATGAGTTTCCAGAACATGTCATTTCTGACCATAGGAGTTTAACTTTTGTTATGCAGAGATCAAGGCAATTTCAGGATAATTTCAGGTCCTTTGGTTTGCCAGAGAGGGACTGTAAGGACAGCTTTTCTGACTTCACCGTGTTCTTTGGTTTTCTCTGTCTCTTCTGTCTTTATTAATATAAAGTTTTTAGAGGGCTGGAAGGGAAAGTTGTATTACTTCTATTAAAATTGCCCTTCAGTCCTCTAGACATGAACTAGAAAGCAGCCACACTAGGTATCATATAGACTTCTCCCTTACCAGGTTCTTCTCAATGCTTTTTCTTGGAATGCCACTATCTCAGTAAAACATATATGGCCTTTGCTGTTTCTAAACAGCAGGGCACATTTGGCCACAGGCAGGATTATGCAGTCTGCATTACAGAAGCCAGGGTGCACAGGGCTGAGGGTGAGATTGTACTGAGCGTCCAAAATTCATCCCAACATTCAGTCAGGACTGGGACAAAGTGGACTTGAGAACTGGGACGTACTCTCCAAGTTCCTGGGTAAACCATAGTGATAATACTATAAAACCATAGTGATAATACATTTGGTGTTTTTTCAAAGTGCCTGCCAGAGCACCAGTAAGAAACAGTAAAGTTTTGAAACTTTTGATGCAGTCGGTAACGTAGACCATAGGGAACTGGTGTTACTCATGCAAAATCACACTGATATGAAACAAAATGACCGCATGGCTCTCAAGATCACATGCAATCTTATCCACAAAACAATCTTTTACCAGTATGGTGCATCGATTTTCTGAAGCTGTATATGTGGAGTAGCACACTTGCCTATAGCTGAGAAAACAGACATGAAAATGTAAACATGAGAGTAAGACAAACTGAGGAGCTGGTATCAGCATAAATGGAGCCACTTCCCTCCATATTTGTTTATACCAGCCTCAGCAATATTTGTTTTTCTTAGACATGCAATAGAGTTTGTTTATCTTGCTTTCTTCTGCTCTCCTAGTCAGCTTCTAGTGCAGCTCACAGAAAAGGATACAAGTCTCTATGTTTGCTCCAACAATGTAGCCTGTCACATCAAAGTTGATGCGGATGAATTTGCCCTGTGAACAAAAAGAAGATCTGGATTGGGCTGTTCTTTCAGGTTATGCCAGGTATTCCAACATTCATATTTAGCCTGTTTAATAAAATATGTACATCTTCTTCTTAAGAATAACATGCTTGATTCCCTCCTGCTGGGGCAACCTGTGGAAAAGCCTGAAAGGATGTGAATGGCTCAAATATTCTCTCTGCAGAGATTCGCACTCACTTTTCATTCAGGCATGTAGAGGGACCAGGCTTTGGAAGCTGTAAGCTTGATCTTTAATCTTATGTAAGGCCAAATTACTATTCTAAACTGGTTTTAAGGGATTAGTTTTAAGACGGTCTTCAGAGAGAAGCACTGATGGAGGGCCACTGTCTGTATCTTGTGTTTTAAAAGATGCTGTACCTTCCCCCTGCATAGACTCAATTGGATTTTTTTCTACTTACAAATCTGGAGGAGTTGTCATTCTTCACAGTTTTGGCATTTCCAAAAGCTTCAAGAATGGGGTTTGCCTGTAGAAGCTGTTTTTCCAGCTCACCCTAAAATTCATTCAGACACAGTTAACCCTAAACTTCATACTTAATTAAAACCAACACATGCGCCCTGGAGAAAAATGTGAAAGATAATTTCAGCCTCTGACTTTTTTTTTCTGAGTACTGTAGTTCATGTGGATTTGCTTTCATTCTTTTCATTTAATCTTTGTGTTACATATTTGTGCAGTTGACTGCTGTCCTGTATACATGACCCTTTTCCAGCCCTGCTGCCTGTGACAGATCAAAGTCTATTAATCTGTTGAGCATCATGACTGGCCTTTCTTAAAAAAAGGGACATACAATGTTTTTGGGTTTTTTTTCAGTTTAGTATCATTTTTTAAAGGTATATTCTTAAAGGAACCTCTAGCATGTCTTCTTCAAGTTAGTTTACTGAGATCCTATGCTAGCAAATGACAATGTCATTTGAATAACTTGCCGAGAATAATTTTAATGTAATGCAGCACAAAGCTACAAAGCAGATTTCATCAAGTCTATTAATAATGATCCATGCAAGGCTATTTAGGTTAAATATGGAAATGCATTGATATATTTCAAGCTAGGATAATGAATTCTCATGCAAACACACAAACTTTGTATTATATTGTTACTTGTGATTGGTAATTGCTAATGAAACAAATCATGCAATGAAACAAGCATGCATTTAATACTGCTATTTCTAAAAACTTAATGAAGTTGAAAAAAATCCTTTGCTTATGAATACAGCTTTTTTTAACTTTTCATTCAGCTCTGCCCTAGGAGGTCACTCACTTTCCCATTTGCTTCTTGTCATCCTATTCTTTGAGTACTACTTTGAGTAACATGCATTATTTCAGATAATCCACCCTGAAAAGAAAGATTCCTTAATAGATAATATGATGTAATTTAAATAATTACAGTTAGAAAATAAGGCAATATTTAGGCTGAATCTAGTGGAAATAATTTGGAAAATGAAAGTGCTTCCCAATTAATGTGCAAAACTGGTAACCTTTTTCTAAATACTATTCCTGAATGTCTTGTAATGTATGTGATGAGAGCTGCCTCAAAAATGTCAGTGAAAAGCAACAGATTGTTAACAAATGGCTAAACTTAACTGCATGGTCCCGAGATGGGAGAATGAGCACCTTCCTGAGAGTGTGGATCTTTTGAGACCTAAGGCATCTGTCAAAACTGCATTTTGCAAAAGAAGAAAAGAAAAATCCCTGCCAAAAATCCCCCAAAACTTACTACCTAAGAGTTGAAGGAAGAAGGAAGGAAAATTTCCAAATAAGTTAATACAGGACTCCTAAAATAAGTAATGAAAAGGCCCTGAAGTTTCTCTGTACTGAGCAGCTCTTTCCAGTTACACTCTGTAGACTTAAATTATGAGCGTAGCGTGTTGCTGAAATCAGATGATGACAGCTAAAATAGAGCCTTGTCTGCTAAACTGGTACTGGTACTACCTGCTTCTAGTGAGAGCTGACCTATGCCATAAACTTGGGGTATAAAACTGTGGCTCCACATTAACAGCATTTTATGCGGCTCTAAGTCCACTGAACTCCACAGAATTCCCTGTGCCAGCAATGGACTAGTTTTTTTTTGTGGAGAACTTGTAAACTGAAATACTAAATTAACAAAGGGGCAACACATTGACTTTGTCATAGCCAAAGTCTGAGAGGCAGCAGTCATAGTGGGGAAAAAAAATGCATTTAAAAAAGAAATCCCATTTGTCTGTCACAAAAAATATGCCAGCAAACCTGCCTATATCCCCAAATATATTGGTATGCTGAATGGCACACCACAATGCAGGAAAGCCTGTAACAAACTGCTGTAACATATCTGCAGAGGACTGCTGCAGTGAGAATCGCTCTGTTACACATCATAGCAGCAAGCTAAGAACATGCTAACTTTTGTGGATGTGAACAATTCTCAACAGTTACATGAAAATGTCAAATTGAAAGCAATATCAAACAGAAAGCATGCAGCCAATCAAACTGATGAAACACCATGAGGTTTAGGAATTATTTCACAACAGTCCTAAAAAGTTCAACCTGAAGCACAAAAAGCATTTGGGTATTTTTATTCAGAAATTGCACTGCTTAATTTCAGGCTGAGTGGCTCTTTCAGGATCGTGGGAAATTTCATTCAAACTACATCAATTGGAACACACATAGAAAAGAGAGTGATGTTTGAAAGATGACCCTGCCTGTGTCAGACCTCATTCTTTACAATGGAGTCTGATACAGTTAGGGTTGATTTGTGAGAGCATTTGGTGCTATTGTTGCTTTTTATCATACAACACATTTCAACAAAATCTCTCTTAAGTTTTCGAGGTGCAACAATAGCATGCAGATCTACACTCAGTGCCTTGAACACACATCAAACAGTCTAAGTTACTCACGTAAGAAAAAGATGGACCTTGCTGTGTTGAATAACATGGTATAAAACAAGTGTCAGTATCATTTCCATTACACAGACATTTTTATTGTTTTTCCTGTATTAAACCAATACACAGTTTCCATGCAAATAAACCCAGAATACTAGTACAAACAATTGCAGACATACCAAGAGTACAAATGCCATTAACATATATAGAACATTTTAACTGAAGGAAAAAACCCTGAAGCCAAGAGATGGGACTTGGATCCAGTCCTGGGTCAGTCTCCCAGGACCAGACAAGGACAGATACTTTTATGGTAAATCCCCAGTTCTTCTCCGGTGTAACTGAGGCATTTTGTTATTAATAATTTTTTTAATCACTGAAATTGCAGTGTTAGTAGTCCCAGTCACTGAATCAGTATTTACCAGCACATTATAGAACAACGGAGCCTTTCCCCCAGCTCCCATTGGGTGGATATTTGCTATCAGGTCTGTCTGGGGGCACTTTGATCCCGAGACCCACATTATTCCCCCAGGGAGTCAGCAGCACTGCAGCTACATGCCTGTTAGGAATGGCCTTGAAACCACAAGTTCATTTCCCCCAGCCCCTGAGCAGGGACTCAGTAGGAAGAAATAAGTTTTTTGCATAAACATTGAACAAAGGAAAACGTTTCCTTTAGCCTTGGACTGTTTCCACTAAATTGGATCACATGTTTCTAGAAAATGCTACTGAAAGGGACATCTACTCCCTCCCCTGCTCCAAAGCAGAGTCTGCTGTGCATGAACAACAACTATTTCAGATGTCAGAGGCCTGGCCGCACATGCTGTGCCCTGAGGTGCTGCCTGCTGCCATACAGGGCAGGCCACGGCAGCTGCCCCAGGCAGTCCAGGTGCAGTCATGGAATTTTTATTTAATTTCACTGCCCTCCTAATGATTTTGGGCGTAGTCTTTCATTTGGGACACACTGAATGGAGCCTGTTGTGTCACAAAAGTGAATTACTATATTTTTTTGCAGAAGTTTGAGTAACGTTCAGAAGCGACCCAGGAGCTGGAGCTGTATCACTGGGAACTGCAAAGGCACCTCAGGGCTTGGCACAGCAGTGGTTGCCTGGAAGGGCGCAGGTACGAGCCTGAAGCATGGTTCAGAGCAAGAAAATGAACTTCAGTTACTAAGGCAAGACTATTATAAATTTTGAAGGAAGAAAGTACTATTAAAAAATTATACCTTTCAAAATTGTTCTCTCTGACAGGAGTAAAAGGGAACGATAAGTTTTATGCTAGGACTCTGTGTTAGTAAAAAAACTTACTTGCTAACAAAGCTTGTCAAAACTTTGGAAGTTTAAATGCTGGTAGACATTTTTGTGATGCATTTGGAGAATGTATTAGTTAAAGGCTTTCCAAACTTAGTTGCCCGAGGCCAAGGGTAAAATAAGGACCTGAGCCCTTGCAGGCTTTTAGGCCTTCATGCTAGGATAGAAATGGTAAGCTATGAATATTTATCTTCTAGCAAAGTACAGTCTGATTTGATGCCTAAGGAGGTGTCAAACTAAAGTTTTTTTTCCATAAACATAGAGCTGTGATGTAATTACGTACTCTTAATATGTCGACTCTTTGGCAAGCCACAGACATGGGCTTGCTGTCAGCACAGGCAGCTCAGCACAGCCCTGACGGGCTGGAGGAGGAGTTGAGTACAGAAGAGCTCACTTACAGTGACGCTGGTGTCCTTTTTGCCCTTATGGGATGATGCAACAACAGCCAGGTACTGAATGACCTTTTTGGTATTTTCTGTCTTGCCAGCGCCAGATTCACCTCTGAGGGGAAAGTAAGTAACACAAAAGAAGATAGGTAATTAGTGAGGTATTTAGTGTAGACAAACAGGACTGGAATCTTCCTGGCTCAGTATTTACCCCAGAACACCATCTCTCCGAATCTACCTGACCTCAACAGGCAAAGAATGTGTTATCAGAGCTATATTTCTGTCCCATTAGTATTTTGACTGGATATTGGGCCATTTAAGGCAATTCTAAAACATGATGCATTTTTGAACGGCAGTTCATCTTGCTTTGGCAGTATCTGAGCATTTATGGGAAGCATAGCTGGCAGGGAGTCTGCTTGTGTTTTAAGACCAAAAAAATATAACATTAATTATGATGTGGTGCAGCAGTAAGAAAAAACACCGGCAATAATAAAGCTATTAGAATAATAGTCTTCTGAAACTCTGGCATTAAAATAGACAAACAGCTTACATTGGTGCTGGAGGATAAGCAAATTATCCTGCCTCATCTGAACTCCCATGTTCAAATGCTCCTCGAATTCAGTGAGACCAAGGCTGGGACTGCCTGAGGTCCCTGCTAACCTGGCGTAAAGGACATGTCCTGTGGGGAGATATTTAACCAGCACCCCAGCGTATCCCAGGCAGCGTCTCTGGACAGCAGGGAGGCAGTGGTAACTCTTCACCTCCCAAAGGACTTCCAGGGTTAAGATTATTTACACCTCCTAAGCCCTCTTTTAAAGTAAAACGCTGGTGTTCAAAGTACTGGTACGTAGGCCGTATTTATACAGTCTTTTCTTGGAAGAACATTACCAGCCGACTTTTCTTTCTTTAAGTGTCACATTACATCGTTTCATGTCTTCTAAATACCTTTGGCTCTGATAATTATATAGATTAAAATGTTTTTATACTGTCCTGTCTCAGCAATCAGAAAGGGCATTAAAGTGGCTGTGGATGTAATAAACTGGTTCTTTCAACAGTATCAAGCTAGTGCTGTGAGGAAGGCAACAGTCTAAATGTAAGTTGAACCTCTTTGTCTTTGGATTTGAAATAAAATGGATTTATAAACAAAAAGAATAATACATTCAAGAATCCCATGGATCAAATCTTTTGAAGCTGAAATTATTTAGCTGGATTCATTGCAGTTCTGCTTCTTTTCCTAATTAGGAAACATAGGAGTTAATTTTCCCTGTCAAGGGACCAGTGATAAATGGACATTAAAAATATGAGTAAGTGCTGGGCAGAACTTTCAAGATGGGATGGAAATGAGAAACAATTCCTGCCTGAGATACAGCACAATGAGAAATGTTTCTTCTGGCTTTTAGAGTTTTAACCAGAAATAACTGAGATGAATATGTCCCTTTTCACAAGACCTGGGCTAATTTGCACAGTTTAGAGGTTGGATTCATCTCTGCCTGAGCTGCAGTGCCAAAACATTTCCATGTTTTATTGATAAAAATTAAGTGTCCTGGGAACAATTCCAAACCAAGCACACCAATTTGAAGACATATGCATACAAAGTTTTCAAATAAATTTACCTTACAACTTTGTTTCTTTGGAAAAAAAACAAAACAACAACCCCTTTCTTCAAACAAACTCCGGACTTTGAATGATTCCATTTTATTAAAGGTTATTTGTAGTTCATCACTACATGAATTACATTTCCTTTCTCCCAGGGCAACAGTGGCTTTCCCCTAAATCCCTGTGAGTATTACCATATATGGCATCATTTTACTTGTAATTATCCTACCATACTGTAATGCTTAAGTTACTTAATATTTTCTTCTGTGCTTTCATCCTTAACTCTTTGCTCCTGCACAGGCCGAGAGTTTTCCTATTTTCTGCAGATAGACTTTGAGGCTTTAACTTCCTTTTGAAATGGACAACAAAAAAAATTCTCAGCGTTAAATGGAAATGCTTCAACATGAAATGGAAAACAGACAGGATCTAAACAGCTACAAGTAGGAAAAAATTCTCAAAGGTCAATAAGTAATGAAGAATAATGTACGTAGGTGATGAATACATCTGATTTCTCAACACAACAGACCATTTTTAAATGTCCACGACAATAGACAGGTCTGATACACAAGTATCCATTAAACAACATTAGTAGCCCTCAAACTCTGAAGGATACATCACAGCTGTATGGCAACATCTAGATTTCATCTCAGTGATGAAATGCCATGTGTTTGAAAATTAACTAAGGAGGAAGAATGGCTATATCAGGTTCGATGTCTCTAAAGATCAAGAAGCTTATAAGGGGGAAGACCCAGGAGGAGAGCATATGAGTTTGCTTCACAGATGGATGAAATTCTTCCTATAACTGCTGAGCTGTAACAGAATTGATCACGCTGGGTTTTTTCTCTACCACCATTTCTGGGGTGGCAGAAACAACTTTCATTGTGAGACAGTATGAGGAATCCCACCTGATTTAAAACCTACATACTCTCTTGAACTCAGAGACTGAATTTTTAAAGGTGGGTCCTTTTCTTGCAAGCATCTTTCAGTGGTTTTGGTGTGTACCATACACAACAGGGGTTCCTCCCAGGAAGCATCCGATTCTCTCTTCTGAGTGGCTGTTTTCCTCAGTCTTTACTCCTAAATTATGTTCCAAAGTGGGAGTTCACCATATTAAATGTTGTTACCATTCTCCTAATCATGATCCTTTATACAGTATAGAATCATTCGGTTGGAAAAGACGTTTAAGATCATTGAGTCCAACCATAACTCATCCACTACTAATTGGTATCTCTAAGCACCTCATTTACCTGTCTGTTAAATACCTCCAGGAATGGTGACATGACCAATTCCCTGAGCAGCCTGTTCCAATGCCCGATAGCCCTTTTGATGAAGAAAGTTTTCCTGATATCTAATCTAAACCTCCCCTGGTGCAACTTGAGGCCATTTCCTCTCATCCTATTGTTTGTTACTTGGGAGAGGAGAGTAACCCCCACCCTCGCTACCCCTTCCTTTCAGGGAGCTGTAGAGGAAGATAAGGTCTCCCCTCAGCCTCCTATTCTCCAGGCAAAACACCCCCAGTTCCTTCACCTGCTCCCCATAATTCTTGTGCTCCAGATGCCTATCCAGCTTCGTTGCCCTTCGCTGGACACACTCCAGCTCCTCAATGTCATTTTTGGAGTGAGTGGCCCAAAACTGAACACAGAATTTGAGGTGTGGCCTCACCAGTGCTGAGTCTGTACTCAGGGAAGGATCAATTCCCTGGTCCTGCTGGCCATGCTATTCCTGATGCAGGCCAGGATGTTGTTGGCCTTCTTGGCCACCTGAGCACACTGCTGGCTCATGTTCAGCCAGCTGTCAACCAATACCCCCAGATTCCTGTCTGCCAAGCAGCTCTCCAGCCACTCTTCCCCCAAGCCTGTAGCGTGGGATGGGATTGTTTTGGCCGAAGTGCAGGACCTGACACTTGGCCTTATTGAACCTCATACAAATGGCCACAGCCCAACATCTCAAATTATTCTTGTTGCCTGCCATACAGAGAGGCAGCACATCTACTGCCTCTGTTCTTTGCACCCAGGTCAGATAGGCAATACAAAAAAACAGATCAAAAACAGATCCTGTTGCACAGTTCTGATGAGCCCAACACCAGTACTTAACTTACTTCCTATACATGTTTTCCTCCTAAGAAACTCCTTAGCTTTCCAAGATCAAAAGGGTCCACGAGGCTTACAGGCTTCCTGTGTTAAAAACACCACTCTCACATTGTGTGGCATAGTTTACATTTATACTTCCCTCACTTCTTGTCAGGCATTGTTTTAGGAACTCAGTCCAGGATTTAAAGCACATAAATTCACATATACACTACTCAGCTATAACAGAATTTTTGCACCACATGAGCTACTAAATTCTCCATGACTCCATTACTGTCACCTTAAATGAAAATTATCCTGGTTAGATCTGTTTTCCAATTAGGACAAGTTGAGCGTAGCAAGTCGGCCCCACTGCTGTGGAGCGATCCTGTGGTATAGCTAGAACTGTTGTACATTTGGGTATAACTGGGAAAAATCGGGTAAAAACCTGTATTTTTTGTTGCATGTTTGAAAGCTTTCTATATGAGACTTAGCTTAATTCCAGTTTTGGAAACATTTAAAAAGTAACAGCAGAGTTTATTTTCAGCATTTGTTTCAGTAAGCAATGAACCACAAAAATTGACCGTTCATACATCTCTTAATCTGGCTGTGCTGGCCCTGCAGGAAGCCTCTGTGCACAGAGCAGTCAGTGAGGTCCTCTAAATCCCATTAGGGCTTGGCAGGCTCCATCCTGCAGTATAAGATGTGCAAAGATCATTAAAATCTTTGTCCTAGACCAGCTCTACCTTCCTAGAGACCTGGCTCTGAAGCCAGCCCATGGATGCTACTAGTTTACTTACAAAAATGTTCCCCAAAGAGCTGGTTCAGCCCCAAGCCATCCCGGATGTCTGTGTGAGAGAACAGCAATGCTTCCCAGCCCCAGCCTCTGAGACTGACTGAGCTGGGAAAGAAAAGAGTTCAGCACTCTTGTCGAGGAGTCTTTTGATGAATGGGGCTGTGCAGTTTGGAGTATGCTCTGGAAGACTCTGCTTCTCACCATGCATCAGGGGAGAAAGCAAGCTGAGGTCCCACGGCCAGGGAAGACTCTAGAGAGTTTGCCAAAAAAGAAAGAGGGGAGGACAGGGAAAAGGGCAGGATGATCACTGCCTCATGAAGTCTGTTACTGTATGGAATTAAGTGGAAATAGCACCCTGCTACCATATGTTTTGATAGAAGCTATTCAAACTAAATGCATGTATAAAAAGGTAATAAAAAAATCTATTTGATTATAAAATGTTTAACAAGCATTTGTTTTCACAGTCTTCACGTTACCTCCAAAATTCAGAATGTTGATCAGATTTTTTTGTCATTTATTTAAGGTGGTTTCTTGTTTAACTGAAGCTTGTGCAGTTATTTTGGCCACATGTGCTTTCTAGAAAATGTTATGCCCGCTCTTTTCAGGAACTGGCTAAAATATGATACCCCAAGATCAGACAGCTTTAAGAGAAGATCTTTAAAGAAGCTATGTGCTTAGGTATACAAGAAAGCATCTGTGGAATTTTTAGTAAAAAACCTTTTGAAAACTCCAGCAGGATCCATTTGTATCTGTAAAAATTGAACAACTTAAAGGCCAGATGTCTCCTTTGAGGGCTGGAGCCTTTACTTACATTGGAGGAAGTTTGGAAAGTCACAAACATTGCTAAGTCCAATTCATGCTTAATTGCTGATGCAATGAGATTGCTCAGGTCTCTGAGTAACTACGGTTTTCTTGGGATTTTTCTGTCAGCAGTATCTAATGTTCTGGTCAACACAGATGAACATAGTCTTTGCAAGAGTAAAAACAGAACGTTGCTTGGCAAACTCCTGTGTCAGAGAAGAGAGACTGCGGTAGGAGGTGGATCAGCCCAGAAGGCACCCACATCCTGAGCTGCATCACAAGAAGTGTGGCCAGCAGGACAAGGGAGGTGATTCTGCCCCTCTGCTCTGGTGAGACCCCACCTGGAGCACTGCATCCAGTTCTGGGGTCCCCAACATAGCAAGGACACGGAGCTGCTGGAACAGGTCCAGAGGAGGCCTCAAAGATGATCAGGGGCTGGAGCTCCTCCCCTACAAGGACGGACTGAGAGAGTTGGGGCTGTTCAGCCTGGAGAAGAGAAGGCTCCGAGGGGATCTTATAGTGACCTTCCAATACCTGAAAGGTGCCTATAAGAAATCAATAAGAGCTGTTCACTAGGGCAGGTAGTGATAGGATGAGGGGTAATGGTTTTAAACTAGAAAAGGGCAGATTTAGACTGGGTATGAGGAAGAAATTCTTTACTGTGAGGTGGTGAGACACTGGCACAGGTTGCCCAGGGAAGCTGTGGATGTCCCCTCCCTGGAAGTGTTCAAGGCCAGGTTGGACGGGGCTTTGGGCAGCCTGGACTGGTGGAGGTGTCCCTGCCCATGGCAGGGGTTGGACTGGGGGAGCTTTAAGGTCCCTTCCAACCCAAACCATTCTGTGATTCTATGATTCTATGAGTCTGCACTGCAGCATGACTAAACATAAGTGAGTTTTTGGCAGTGTCCACAACTATTTTTTACAATTTAGGTACCAGGCTTTGAGTCTATAGTTGTTTAAAGAAAAGATCCCAGCTGATTAACACCATGAAGTCTTCAGTTATTTTTATATATTTCAGGCAAAAAGATAATTTCTTGAATTTTTTAGCAATGCTATGAAATAATGCAAATTGCTTCCACTTGGCAGCTGCACAGCTGAAAGCCAAGTTAACGCTCTTCTTTCTGTACAGCCAAAAAAGCCAACAAGGATGATAAACCAGTAGTGCTTAAAATTATGTACATTAGTTTTAGCTTGACTAATCTTTTTAGTTCAAAAGACATGTGTTAGGACTGTTTTAAGCTATGGGTCATGGTGCCCATCCAACATACAGCAGTTATTTTAAATGTCTCAGTGAATTACTTACTGTGGCTACTTTCAAAATGGGAAAGACTTTTCATTCTATCTGTTCTATGTGTTAATGGTGTGAAACACCTCATGTTTCCAGCTTAGCTGACTAGGTGAAAAAAAACGAGTACCTTTCTTAAAAATTCTATTATTCCAAAGTTAAAAGAATATGTGAGGATTTACTAATGGCAAAATAAACTGAAGCACAGGAATAGAAGGAGGAAATGCATATTGTAAATTAGTCTTCATTACTGTGATATGTTTCATCCTGGGAAGAAAGTGATGGTCAATTTTTACATCATCATTGCACCAATTTTAGATTTCTTTTTGTTATTGATGCATTTTTTTGAGAGATTCTTCATTCATATACTTGCATGTAATGAAATCTTGTTACAACAGAGGTCAGAGCTATGCTAGCCCTTATGGTAATGGATACAGTATATAATTTTTACTTCTTAGGTGATGATTTTTTCCCAATCAGCAGTGGTACTCACAGGTAACTGTATGGCTGATGATCAGTAGCAGTGCTCTTTAAAAACTGTAGCATAAATGTATATTCAGTAGCTACATTTGGAGAGAGAACCTAAAACAGTTCAGTTTGTGGAGTAGTGAGCTGTGCATGACAAAGCTTATTACAGTACAATCGCTGCCTGACCATGATGCGGCAACTGGATCTTGCACTGGTGCTGTCTGAGCACCGCAGGTCACAGCTCAAGGAGGAGGCCTTCAGCAAAATCAGAGTTCAGACCAGGGCTGGATTAGCTGGTTTTTCACTGTTGTCTGAACTGGTTATGTAGAGACTGCAGAAAGATCCAACCCACATGGTGCTGCTGAGCCCTCTTGGCCAACACTCCCCTGCCCTGGACACAGGCTCCAGGGTGCTCATGGCCAACAGAGAGGGATCCAACCTTTCCTGTTCCAGCTACAGTGTGTGCAAACAGCATGAAACAACAGCATGGGCATAAAAGATCGTACTTTTCTACAGTGACAACTGAATTAGGAAGCTATGATGAGCTACCAACAGCTGAAAATGCAAAGCGGTTC